CAAATACGCGCTCGCACTAGGGCATGATCTGAATCCAAACATGTGCCCCAGAACGAGTGACAGTCTTCTACCGAACCCCTCCATCGGTGGCTGATGGCAATGTGATCTAGTTGAGTCCAACGTTGAGACGACTTCGGAGGTCGCCAGGTCAACAGATGCTTTTCCTTATGCCTAAAGTTAGTGTTTGCTAAGTATAGGCGGTTGTCTGAGCATACTTGCAACAGACGGTCACCATTGTCTGTTCTCTGAGCCACGACACCATAACATCCACCTAGGTGTCTTTCATTTTCACTTAGTCTACCTACTTGGGCATTAAAGTCATCAGCCATTAATACTATATCAGAGCGCCTAGCTTTTTGGAAGAGGTCCGAAAGCTTTCTCTAAAACTCATCTTTAACCTCATCTGAGCTGCAGGCAGATACGACGAAGAGGCAACGACGGGTGTCCCTATCTTTCCAAGTCCTTACTGTCCCGTTCAGTCGGACAGCGCACAATCGACTATCTACTTGGATCCAGTCTAGGAGAGATTGTTCAGCTCTACGACTCAGTGCTATGCCTACGCCAGCAAGACCCCTGGAAGCAGCATCAAGGCTACTGGATACACGAAGAGTGAATCGGGCTGCTTCATCGTTTTGACAAGGTGAAATCAGATTAATAATTTTACTAGGATCCTGTATGCGCGTTTCCGAGACGCAGCATACATCGATGGCTCGAGTTTCTAAGGTCCTAGCTAATGATGCCTTTTGACCTATTTGACATCATGTCCGAACATTAAAAGCTCCAACATGTAGTCTAGAACGGAGTTTCAGGAGACTAGGAATAACGTTTCGGGAACTCGCATCGTTTGAATTAGCTGTGCACTGTCATAAATGAATGTGAGAAGAGTGAGTCGTGGAGAGAAGAGAGGTATGTGTGGGTGTGTAGGAAGGATTTGATTTCGACCAATTTGGTCACTCGTGCTGTTATGGGTATGAGGGCGGTTGTCACTTCCCCGATGCCCACACCGTGGAAAGTTGTTTCTTGTAGAACCTGAAAAGGAAGATAGATTAGTGTTGGTCTTAGAGACCTGGGTGCGTGTCCGGAGAGCCCAAGGGACAACTGCTTGAGGCCGGTCACGCACGGCCTTTTTATGGAGGGTTTTTTAAGGACTAACTCTGCTCTTAAAGGCCCTTAGTGGGCACCCTGACCGACGGGGACGGAAATCCATGAGGTAGGGTGAGGTGTAACATTCTTAGGGTCGACATTTTCTAACCCTTCCTTCCATGTGAGAAGGCAGCATCGTTGCAGATGCTGGTTGTCCGAGGGAAACGCCTTACTGCTGTCACACCCCTCTGCAGTCAGCAGTACGACTTCGCCCCCAGACCTTGAGTAGCTGCTTTTAGTCTCATCGTTCTCCAATCGACCTGCCTGGCATTGTAGGACCTACAGGAACATATGTTCCAGCCAGTATAGCTCGGTTGGGTCATCACGATAGGCAAGCCCGACCACCACGTCAAGGTAGCAGCTACGGTCGGGAAATAATAATAAGTACAATAATAATAATAGTATTATCCACTTCGCTAAACATAGTAACAGTAAGGTAAAGCAAATACTGTCGGGAAAAAAGGTTATCATTCAACAAGAACCAGCAGTGATTGTCAGTACTGGACAAACTGTACCTGCCATCATAGATAACATAGTGAGTGCTTTTATGTGTAACAGCACACAGAGCTCGTCCTACTTGTCTTTTGACCTTGTCAGTCATTCGCTCATATCTGCGTTGCTTTTATTCGTGTGTGTGTACGCGCCTACCTTGCTTATTACGTGTCTGGCTTGTTTTGTCTGACAATAAATTCTTAATCATGCTTCATCTAATCGAGTTGGCTCTCTTGTCTTCTCCACTCCACTACCCATCGCCTTACTTATGTGCTTTTCGTTCTCATGTCTGCATGAATATTGTCTAAAATTAATTCATCCAACCGAATCCGTATTTGGCTACTTATTACCACTGTCGCACAAACGGGTTTCTCCAATGTATAGTATACGGAAACTGGTGGAGAGATTTATTTCATAGCATATTTAAATGCTCATAAATATAGGGGCCGCGGTTCATCAAAGTACTGAACCGTACATCGAATTTACTGCAGTAATAAAGTCGTAAGCCCATAGTCGAGTCGAATACAACCACAAAAGGATAAAACATGACGTCTCCGACTGTGAAACTAAGTGATATGACAGTAGAATCAATTACAGAACACCAGTTCTCTCAATGTTTACAAATACGTCTTGTAGATAAGTAAGTATTCAACGTTGCAAAACCTAAATCGAATACACTTTCTTATCAACTAACACCGACCATGTAGTAGTACATTACAATAACAAAACCTTATACAATTATTAAAGACATCATCGAACTAGGGTAAAATTTAATTCAATATTAATTCTCACTCACAGAATTTTCCAGTGTTCCTAGTCCATACGCATATCCGACCATTGTTCCTCCGGTATAAATTTTAACAAGATTTAATTTAGATGATTCTATCGGTGAACATGTTGTTGATGTTGTTGATGATGATGACATTGGTAATGAAGAAAATATTTTATCATTATTTACAGAATTTTTATTCAATGAATAAGCACCACCAACATCTATGGTTGTTGTTGCTGCAACTGTGTTCTGGCGTTCTCCAACAGCAAGTGAATCAACCAATTGAACAACACGATTTAACAAACGTATACGATCAGCAATCTCTGTTGGTTCTTCATTATTTGTTAATAATTTTGATGACTTATTGTCTGAATCCTTCATTGTTGTTGTTGTGGATGTATTTGTGTTATGAGATGAATTAGTTGTCAGCTTTTGTTGTTGTTGTTGTTGTGTCGGCGGTGGTGGTTTTGATGGGATTATAATAAAATTGATTAAAATTATACCAATATTCTGATGTGATTTACTATAGATTTCCATTGGTCTTTCTGGATTTGATATTTTAGCAATCACAAAACGTGGTACAATGGAAATGAGTAAACGTGCCAATGCTAAACTTGTTAATGACAGCTTGTCTAAAGTAGACTGACTCTATATGAGAATGCAGAAATGAATAAATAGGCAAAGAAAATTGATAATATGCGATATAACAATCGTACAATTAAAAAGATGTAATTTGATTGAGAAGTTTATGGGACTGAAATGGAGATAGTATTTGTTACGTATTTGTTATGGGAGAAAACAAACCAGATTCCAGTGGAGGAGGAAATCAGGAAGAAGCGGTGGAAGTGGATAGGACACACATTACGAAATGCACCTAACTGAGTCTTAAAACAAGCCCTCACATGGAATCCTCAAGGTAAAAGGAAAAGAGGAAGGCCAAAGAATACATTACGCCGAGAAATAGAGAAAGATATGAGAGGAATGAACAAACATTGGACAGAACTGGAGAGGGAAGCCCAGGACAGACAGAGTTGGTTGGAGAAAACTGGTGGGCGGCCTAAGCTCGATTGGGGGTAACAGGCCTAAGTAAGTAGTAAGTAAGTACGTATTTATAGCGGGATACGGATGGATTATAAAGCATGACTGCGTTAGCTGAGCGCTGATTGGCTAATTCCTATTCAATTAGCGCTAGTCGATCACGTGGATTAGATTCTAGAAGATACTCATGTAAAAACTATAAAAAGATACTAACGTTGTTCCTATTTCGCCTTCGCTTCGGCATCTTCCATGCTGTTTGGGATATAATCGTTTCCCTGTTCAACCATGTTCTAATTTGAGGAATGGTCGAGTGGATTGGTGTCAAGAATACCAAGCAATAGAAACAGTTGGGTTTACTAAGAGAGAATTACAACAACAATATTGGAGGACAAGTGTGTTTCGTTTAAGCATGGGATATTCCCTCTCTCCAAGTGGGGGGGGATCAATGATACTCTATTAGACGATCGGATCGTACGTAGGATTGTTTTTTTGAACTGATTAAAGTTGGAAAATAATATCATTCAATAGTTTGAAAATAATGTTCACATGACAAACCGATATAAGTTTAGTTTCAATCCTTGATAGAGTTGTAGGTGTGCATTGACGGAAATTCCCACACACACACACCTACCAATATCAATATTGAAGATGAATGCTATAATTATAAATGGAATCGGTAACCCAAACTTTTTCGAGATAAAAAAATTCTACAATGTAAAGGCTACATAACTTTGTTCAAATCAAAAAATAAGTTAGACTTATAAACTAACAATTGAAAACAATTAATCATTCTATGCTACACTGATTCATTATTCAACTTGGGATTAATACAAAAATTCAAGAATTACTCATTTGAAAAATAATCAATAAAGTGGGGAAAAAAGTTAGAAAAAGGATATGATTATGATAAAATATATCAAATTGTAGACAATTTAGAAAGATGAAGGCCATATGAACACATCACACCCGAGAAATAGAGAAAGATAGGCGAAGAATGATCAAAAATTGGGAAAGACTGAAAAAGGGAAGCCCAGGGGGACAGAGTTGGTTGGGAAAACTGGTGGTCGGCAACTTATGCTCCATTTAGGGTTAACAGGCAGAAGTAAGTAAGTGAGACAATTTAGACATTAATTTATAATTGATGAAAAAGTAAACGAAATGAAAGCCATTTCATAATTTTAATATGATCTAGTTGTCCTGCAATTCAAAATTATGAGTTAACATGTGACACGCATTCCAATAAATCAGTATTTTTATTATCTAACCATTGTGAAATATCCCTATCGTACCAATGGTTAGAGACCTTGAATAATGAATGACATGGCTCAGAATCGTTTGCAATGGCTCAGGTGCATCCACTCTTTGTGTTCTATGAAATTCTAACCTTCTCTTTCTAACTTTATCTCATTGAATTATACTTTTCGAATCATATCTTTGCTCCCTAATCTTCCGCATTGATGCTAATAATTCTACTACCGCTATCACTCTTGGATTTGAACTGACAGTTACATCTCTGTGTGCCTAATGTGATATGGCAACCTAAACTGATGTACTTATGTACGAAGTTCTGCAATGTATATGTCTTTCTGTCTATCTGTCTATTTTTTCACGATTACCGTTCATGGCAATGTTAACATTCATTCAAATGTGATTATGTAGGAAATGTAATTCACTGAACAATCAACGTCCATACTGAACTGACGACAACGTTATAGTATCTATCATCTTACCAAAGAAATAAAACTATATAATCATATGAGGATAAAATCGATAAATAGGCAAGTTTAATTAACAAATGGCCTGGTAAAGTAAACGCCTGGTGCAAACTGATTCAAACTGAATAATTTTCAGAAAATTTATCAACATAGACTGTATTACAATTGCTAGTTTTATTTGAGCAGTAAATGAACATTCAAACACAGATGTATCCCATTTTGAATTAGGCATACAATTAGTCAGTCAGCCGGTCAGATGCAACGTAGAACTTCGGACGTAAGTACATCAGTTCATGTCGACATACCACATTAGCACAGAAATGTAATTGTCAATTCAAATCCAATAGTAGTAAAGGTAGTAAGGGTATTAGAAGATATTATTCAGGAAGTATGATTCAATGAGAAAAGTTTAGAAAGTAAAAACTAGAGTTGTTGAAGAATCCAGAAGATTAAGATTTGAGAGAACACAAAGAATAAATGCATCGGCGCCATTGCGAACCATTCTGAGCCATGTGATTCAAGGTCTCTAACCATCGATTATTATCATCTCGCGGACCCCAACCAGGTAGTCGACAATTACCGACATGGCTCAGTCCACTAGTCAATGACTTCATGGATTTCTGCCATGTTTTGGTTTGGCCGCCTCGAACTTTCTTCCAACCTATTCCTACACTATAAAACAAAGCTCGACGAGGCAGTCGGTGGTTAGACATACGCTGCACATGTCCCAACCACCTCAACTGATGAAGTTTCACCACTTCATCTATTGATCTGCCATTCTTACCTAGCACCCGATTCCTAATAACAGCGTTTCTCACTCGGGTGTCCCAGGATATATGATCAATGCTTCGAAGACACATATGATCGAAAACCAGTCACCTACGAATACCTTCTACTCTCACTGGCCATGTTTCACAGCCATAACGTAAGAAAGAGCGAACCACTGCACAGTACACTCGTCGTTTAGTTAGCAAACGGATACCTCGCCTACGCCATAAGTGACGAAGGTCGGCAAAAGCCAATCGAGCTTTCTGTATCCGTGCTGAGATTTCGTCAGTCACCAGGCCATCGGCACTGATGAGACTCCCCAGATAAGTGAAGCGGTCTACACGTTCGACTACTTCACTCCCTATCACTAGTTCAGGTGCCGATGTAACCCAATCTTGAAGCAACATTTTGCATTTCGAGGGGGGAAACCGCATCCCGCATACATTTCATACGATTACATTGTAGAAAAAAAACATCAATCCTCAAACTCAAGTTCATAGACTGGTGGTATCTGGTGACCCTACAACTTGTCATCCTAAAAAATAAAGCCAGAAAGTTACACAGTAAATACATCAAAAAGGTCGTATGTGACTAGCTTTTCTTGTACTTAGGATTTAAAGTCATGACAATCACCCCTAATTAAATTTCTTTTCCAGATGACTTCACTGGAAATATCCTCCCCTGACAGTGTTGATAGTGACTGAAAATGGACAATCAACGAAGCTCAAACTTATTTCGTTTGCAAAATTTGACTAGACTTGCATGAACTACAGGCAGTTTATATAATTATAATTGCAAACCAAAAAACATTTTACACACACACACACACACGCACACAAAATTCTCAATAAAAAATGTAATTTGAATAGAGAAATGAGAAGACATATTTTGTGAGATAGTACCATTTCGTCCTTTCTCGTCAGTCACATACAAGCAACATGTTATTTGTGTAAATACAGTTTTGAAGATAAGGTCAAAATTTCTTATTTAGCATGACATTCACTCACTCACTAGAACCATGGTAAACAAAGGTCAACATACAGTTGTTTTTGAACACATAAAGTTGGACTTTTCCGACCAATCAAGATAGCTTCGAGTAGTTTGACGGTGTGTATGTGTGTGTTTTGATGACATGTCACAACTCTATAAAGGCTGATTTTGGGTCAATTTGATGACCACTCATCATTAGATGTTTCGCAATGGACGAGGCTGGGTTTCTTGATCGATCTTGAGATGACGGACTAGGTTGATGAATCATTGATTAACCATTTTGGAATCTGTTCCCCTATCCTGCCTTCCATTCGGCGATCTGTTCTACCTAAGTAACTTTCTCCGCAGTTACATGTGAATTGGTAAATACAGTGGGATTTGGACTGAATCGGTCTTGGAGACTTGACTGGGGTAACTGAGATCGATTGAGTTGTTGTGATAAGCCTCAGATTAACTGCATTGAAGGTCTTTTTTATTGCAGCTGCAGTCTGTTTGGTTGTAATTTTCATGCAATGATCACCTTTGAAAGGTAACTGTAGGTACACTGGTTTCTTGGGCACATCAGTTGCTATCGTCGTTTCGTCGTAGTTGTGTTCTGATGACCAATAAACGTTTCGGGATAACCGTTTAATTTAAGTGTCTCAGTAATAAGCTTGAATTCATCGTTCAATGTATCAGCAGTGCCGATTCTACTTGCTCAAGCGAATAAGGTTCTGTTGTCAAAACTTTATTCGCATGTTGCTTGTATGTGACTGATGAGAAAGCACGAAATGGTACTTACTATCTCACAAAATATGTCTTCTCATTTCTCTCTATTCAAATTTATCAAAGGGAACCACTGTATTGAAAAAAATATAAGAAAATCTATAATAACATATGATGATGCATATTTAACATACTTTCATTTTCCATTGACTCATTAATCTACATTGATATTCTAAACTTCGAGGTAACAGGATAGCCAATAGGAAAAATGCGAATTGAGCAAATATACTTTGTACGACATTAGGTATAATCAAATTTGGTTCAATAGATGATATTGCTTTAAGTGAATTATTCGCATCATGTCTATGAATACAACAACAATAAATTTAAAAAAATGATTTAAGTATAACAGACAATGTAAGACTGACTGAATGGTAAAACAGACGCTACATTCAGTTAAAAAAAATAATGAATTCATGAATGAATGAAAGTATTTCATGCACTATAAAAAATTATTCTCATGATTTTTACTCCCAGCTGATTTCTTGTATTGAATCATTATTGGACATAGAATAAGATTACAGAATGGCGCGAATATTGGACTTAAACGATAAAAACACAAGCTACATCTATTGGGAAATAATAAATAGGTTACATACACGTAATCAATTGATTTTTCAATAGTCAACAAAAGATTTGCATTTGGGATTGCATTTAGTTAGATAACTGTTGAAAACTAGGAAGCAATATGGATAGTCGTTGAGTTCAAATATACAACTCACACACAAATAGACGATATCATTATGGGGTCGAACAAACGACGCGTAGAGTGAATATCCTTTGGAACTTTGAGATTGAATTCTATTAATTACTTTTTTTTTTAAGGCTTGATTGGCTTTTGCCAACCTGTGTCACTTATGGCCTAGGCTAGATATACGTTTGCTGATTAAAGGACGAGTGGAGTGTGCAGTATTTCGCTCCGTCTTACTTTATGGATGTGAAACATGGTCAATGAGAGTAGAAGATATTCGTAGGTTATTGGTTTTCTATTATAGGTGTCTTCGAAGCATTGCTCGTATATGGTGGGACACCCAAGTGAGCAACGCTGTTATTAGGAATCGGGTGCTAGGTAAGAATGGCAGATCAATAGATGAAGTAATGAAACTTCATCAGTTGAGGTGTTTGGGACATGTGTTGCGTATGTCTAACCACCGACTGCATCGACGAGCTTTGTTTTGTAGTGTAGTGTAGGAGTAGAACGGAAGAAAGTTAGGGGCGGCCAAACCAAAACATGACACAAATCCATGAAATCATTGATGAGTGGACTTAGCCATGTCGGTAATTGTCGACTACCTGGTTGGGGTCCGCGACAAGATAATAATCGATGGTTAGAGACCTTGAATGACATCGCTCAAAATCGTTTGCAATGGCGCCGGTGCATTTATTCTTTGTGTTCTCTCAAATCCTAATCTTCTGGATTCTTCAACACCTCTAGTTGTGACTTTCGAAACTTTTCTCACTGAATCATACTTCTTGAATAATATCTTCTAATCCTAACCTCTCCGATTACTTCTAATACCTTTACTACCTCTTCTACTATTGGATTTGAATTGACAATTACATCTCTGTGCTGATGTGTTATGGCGACATGAACTGATGTACTTACGTACGAGGTTCTACGTTGCATCTCACTGACTGACTGAAATTACATTTTTTGGCTTCAGTTACTAAATATGACCGCTGTTTGTTTATATCGTAATACACAACAACCAATTGCGGGACCAAGATGAAGATTAAAGCTGTTATTTATGGCAACTACATGTTAATTGATAGGAGGTGAATTTATCAAAGATCTGATAGTCTTGAAGTGCTGGAAAAACATTCATAGTCAAAATAGAATAAGGCATGTAAACTAAAGGTTTCCAGTTTCTAAGCAATTACTTGTGCGTATTCATTCATGTGATTGATATTTTTGTCACGATAAGATATTGATCTCAAAAGCAATTGATAAAATCGTTGAGACGAAAATTCAGATTCGAAACATGTTATTTCTTGACATTTATTACGGTGGAAATTCACAATAACGCAACTGTAGTAATTATTGAATAAATAAACACACGTAACATTTTATCCGATACACTAAAAATCAATTTATCATTCAGATATAAGTATGCGAAAATGGTACTTGGAAAATTCTAATGTAGCCAAGCAATCTAAAAATTGAAGTAATTTGAAATCATGAATCGATCAATGTTAGACCATCATAAGAAACATAGAAGCACTGGACGGCCGTTTCGTCCTGGTATGGGACTCATCAGTGGCAGTGCGCATCCTCGACTCCTGCACGTGGCAGGATTCGAACCCAGGACCTTTACAGTTTTGCGCGCCAACGCCTAACCTTTGGACCATTGGGCTGGTATCCAACGGTGTCAATGTCTAACTTGAGTCAATTCACGGTATTGTGCAACCTCATGCATTGTCTACAC